ATTCAGCCCCTGCCCCGCCCCCCCCCCTTGCCCCCCCAAATGAAAACACAGAGAGAGCTCTGATTGGTCGAGGAGTTGTTTCAAGGCTTTATTGGAGTTCAAGGCAGAGAGAGAGAGAGAGAGAGAGAGAGAGAGAGAGAGAGAGAGAGAGGACGGTAAAACACAGCAACAGTGGATTTAAGGCGTTTCTGTCGTGCTAATGCTAATGCTAATGCTAACGCTAATTGGCAGTCGAACACGCACGCGCGCACGAGCCTTCTATGTTAGTAAGCTTAATGAGGCCGGCGACTGCCGGCGCGCATGTGTGCTAGCATGCTAACATGTACGCTAGCATGCTAACATGTATGCTAACATGTACGCTAGCATGCTAACATGTATGCTAACATGTACGCTAGCATGCTAACATGTATGCTAACATGTACGCTAGCATGCTAACATGTATGCTAACATGCTAGCATGTATGCTAACATGTATGCTAACATGTATGCTAACATGTATGCTAACATGTATGCTAACATGTATGCTAACATGTATTCTAACATGTATGCCAACATGTATTCTAACATGTATGCTAACATGTATGCTAGCATGCTAGCATGTATGCTAACATGTAGGCTAAGATGCTAACAGTTTGCTCGCGTCGATCACGCGGTCTCCCATGAACAGCGGTAATAGCGGTAAAGCTACACGTCCGGTCCAGGACCACAGCACTGGGTCACATCCGGGTCGGAGGAGGTCGGGAGGTCAGGAAGGGTCAGGGGGGTCGGGTCGATCGATGAGTCCCAGGTTCGGGACTGTAATTTTTGCAAGGTGCAAAATGTCGTGTCGATGTTTCGTGGCTTTTCGTCGCTACTTCCCGTCGGACTGGAAACGAGTTACATCTTAGACTTTTTCTTTTTCCTCGACGTCCTTCGTCGCTCTCTCCTCCCGCTCTGGACCTCCCTCTTCATCATCGCCTCCTCCTTCTTCCTCCTCTCCTCCTTCTTCATCACCTCCTTCTTCCTCCCCTCCTTCTTCCTCTCCTCCTTCCTCCTCTCCTCCTTCTTCCTCTCCTCCTTCTTCCTCTCCTCCTTCTTCCTCTCCTCCTTCTTCCTCTCCTCCTTCTTCCTCTCCTCCTTCTTCCTCTCCTCCTTCTTCCTCTCCTCCTTCTTCCTCTCCTCCTTCTTCCTCTCCTCCTTCTTCCTCTCCTCCTTCTTCCTCTCCTCCTTCTTCCTCTCCTCCTTCTTCCTCTCCTCCTTCTTCCTCTCCTCCTTCTTCCTCTCCTCCTTCTTCCTCTCCTCCTTCTTCCTCTCCTCCTTCTTCCTCTCCTCCTTCTTCCTCTCCTCCTTCTTCCTCTCCTCCTTCTTCCTCTCCTCCTTCTTCCTCTCCTCCTTCTTCCTCTCCTCCTTCTTCCTCTCCTCCTTCTTCCTCTCCTCCTTCTTCCTCTCCTCCTTCTTCCTCTCCTCCTTCTTCCTCTCCTCCTTCTTCCTCTCCTCCTTCTTCCTCTCCTCCTTCTTCCTCTCCTCCTTCTTCCTCTCCTCCTTCTTCCTCTCCTCCTTCTTCCTCTCCTCCTTCTTCCTCTCCTCCTTCTTCCTCTCCTCCTTCTTCCTCTCCTCCTTCTTCCTCTCCTCCTTCTTCCTCTCCTCCTTCTTCCTCTCCTCCTTCTTCCTCTCCTCCTTCTTCCTCTCCTCCTTCTTCCTCTCCTCCTTCTTCCTCTCCTCCTTCTTCCTCTCCTCCTTCTTCCTCTCCTCCTTCTTCCTCTCCTCCTTCTTCCTCTCCTCCTTCTTCCTCTCCTCCTTCTTCCTCTCCTCCTTCTTCCTCTCCTCCTTCTTCCTCTCCTCCTTCTTCCTCTCCTCCTTCTTCCTCTCCTCCTTCTTCCTCTCCTCCTTCTTCCTCTCCTCCTTCTTCCTCTCCTCCTTCTTCCTCTCCTCCTTCTTCCTCTCCTCCTTCTTCCTCTCCTCCTTCTTCCTCTCCTCCTTCTTCCTCTCCTCCTTCTTCCTCTCCTCCTTCTTCCTCTCCTCCTTCTTCCTCTCCTCCTTCTTCCTCTCCTCCTTCTTCCTCTCCTCCTTCTTCCTCTCCTCCTTCTTCCTCTCCTCCTTCTTCCTCTCCTCCTTCTTCCTCTCCTCCTTCTTCCTCTCCTCCTTCTTCCTCTCCTCCTTCTTCCTCTCCTCCTTCTTCCTCTCCTCCTTCTTCCTCTCCTCCTTCTTCCTCTCCTCCTTCTTCCTCTCCTCCTTCTTCCTCTCCTCCTTCTTCCTCTCCTCCTTCTTCCTCTCCTCCTTCTTCCTCTCCTCCTTCTTCCTCTCCTCCTTCTTCCTCTCCTCCTTCTTCCTCTCCTCCTTCTTCCTCTCCTCCTTCTTCCTCTCCTCCTTCTTCCTCTCCTCCTTCTTCCTCTCCTCCTTCTTCCTCTCCTCCTTCTTCCTCTCCTCCTTCTTCCTCTCCTCCTTCTTCCTCTCCTCCTTCTTCCTCTCCTCCTTCTTCCTCTCCTCCTTCTTCCTCTCCTCCTTCTTCCTCTCCTCCTTCTTCCTCTCCTCCTTCTTCCTCTCCTCCTTCTTCCTCTCCTCCTTCTTCCTCTCCTCCTTCTTCCTCTCCTCCTTCTTCCTCTCCTCCTTCTTCCTCTCCTCCTTCTTCTGGACGCGGTCGATGAAGTTGGCGAAGCGGTCGTTCAGGCCCTGCAGCTCCGCCTTCTCCTGGGTCCTCAGCGCCTTGAACTCGCCGCCGACCTGGGCGGCCTGGTCCAGGCGGAGCTCGGCGGAGGAGTAGGCTGGGTAGCTTCTGCGGGACGACGCGTAGGAACCGGCGGAGCAGTAGGAGGGTTTGAATCCCAGTCCCGGCGCGCCGACGTCGTGCCCGCTTGCCGCGCCGCGCGCCGTCACCCTCCTCTTGTAGGGAGAGGGGAAGTAAGGGTCGTAGCCGACGGAAGTCATCATGGCGTCGTCCGGCGTCTGGCGTGCGTCCGGGGGGGTTGTGGCGTTCACTGCGGGAGAGAGTCCGTCTTTTATAGGAGCCGATCGTGACGTCAGCGGTTTGTTGCAGGGCACGTGCTGACGAATGGGATTGATAATGGGCCAGGGGTGTGGTGAGAAGGCGGG